CCTAACCGACTGAGCCACCCAGGCGCCCCTTAAAGTCTTTATTTCTTATTGTTCTTCATTTTTTAAAACTTTTTTAAAATGTTTTATTTATTTTTGAGAGAGAGAGAGAGAGAGAGAGAGACAGCATGAGCAGAGGAGGGTCAGAGAGAGAGAGAGGGAGACACAGAACCTGAAGCAGGCTCCAGGCTCTGAGCTGTCAGCACAGAGCCCAACACGAGGCTTGAACCCATGAACCGTGAGATCATGACCTGAGCTGAAGTCGGATGCTCAACCAACTGAGCCACCGAGGCGCCCCTCCTTATTGTTCTTCAGACAGGATAATTTCTTTTGTTTTATTTTCTGCTTCTGTGATGTTTTTTTCATATTCAAGTCTTGCTATTAAACCCATCTGACTTTTCATTCATATACTTCCTCATTTGGTTCTTTATTGTGATAATTTTATAGTTTTTTTCTTTCCTTCACTGAGATTTCCGCATGTTCATGCATCATGACAATATTTGAAACAACTACTTTAAAATCCTCGTTTGCATGAGTCATCTCAGGATTGATTTCTGTTGACTGTTTTTCCTCTTGATTAGGAGTCTCAGAAATATGCTGGTATGTGCAGTAAATATGGCCATCTTGCTTTTGCCTAGCAGGTATTTTTGTCCCACATTGAGTCTACAGGGTGCTTATCTTTTTTTTGAGTATTTCTGATTTTCTCTTTTTATGTTCTTTATCTTGGTGTTGGTTAACCTGTATGTTGAAACATGAAATCAGTGCCTTATCTTTGTCAGAGGTTTTTGTTCTCTGTGAAGAGAAATGCTTTAGAAAGTTGGGGCATTGTTTTTCATTGTTGATAATTTGGTTCATATAGTTGAATTGAGTGAGTCTCGTTGCAGAAATAAAGGAATTTTATTTACATATTTCCTCTCTGTTCCAAATGTTTTTAAAAAGTGGTTATTTAAATTTAATTTAAACACAGTAGAAATGAAAACACTTTATAAGTATTAGAAATAAAGGTACATGCATTTGTCATTAGATAAAAAATTAATTACAAATGCATTTGAGGCCCCATCTTTACCATAAGAATAAATGTGTTTATAGAAAAAGGTTATGATTAAGTATGCATGTGTGTGTATACGTATGTATATCCAGGTGCCTTTTATGCTGTTTTTAGTGTTTATTTACATTGTTTATATCTGTGCCTAGCTACAATGATTTCTCAGTCGAGTCATACACATTAAACATAAAATAACCATCAGTATTAATGAAAGCATGTTCAGTAATTTTCTAAACTATTAATTCATGTTTATTTATTTTTGAGAGACAGAAGCATGTAAGGCTGTAGGTAGGCCTGTGAATATAACTTTGTCTACATTCCATGGAAAAGGTTTTAGGGGATTGGAGAGATGATAATTAATATTTAAGAATGATCCCTTCTTTTTTATTAAATGATTTTTAATACATTGTTTTATTTAATCCTGACAATAGTTTGATTCTCTGTACTTTATGGAAGAAAATGCACAGAATAATGTACTTTCCCAAGACGATGTAATATATGAATTCCATAACTGGAATTTGAACTTGGTGCTGTCTGATTCCAAATGAGATATTCTTCCTAATTTACCTAATTTCTTCTTATAAACTTTGAGTGTTCTTATTTTTATTGTTCTCTGAATATTCTTACAGTTTTTATTTTCTTTTGGACCAAAAAATTTTTTAAGTAAGTAACAAAAGAGTATATTTTTCTTTTCTTTATTATTGAATATTCTATTTTTAATTATACAAAAAGTTGAAAGGACTGGGTATGGTTCGTTTTTGGAAAGCAAGAGAATTTTTTAAAATATTCTATTGTTGATCTGTAGATTTCTTGTATTTGCCTACCAAGTGTGTTATCATAATTTTCTCATGCTTAAAATTTCTTAATGTTTTGTTTGTTTTTAATTCAGAATCATTTTTTAGGTTCATTGGTGTTTCAATAGACTTCTAGGTTAAAAAGATCTCATACTTTAGGTATTTCTTTTTTATTCTTGACGGTGGTCTGTATGTATAAGATAAACCTTATCAGCTTGATTTTTGACCTCTTTTACATCATTTATTTCCAAAGTCTGGGTAAAATTGAAATCTTGGCAAACACACATGACTAGAATCTCCTGGTGTGAGAGAGTGTATTTATAATAAAAAAAGAGCAGAAGAAACTTTAATTCACAAACCACTTTCTTTTTCTTTTTTGCTGAATAGATCACAGTTTGCGACACTTTTAGGTTTTGAAAACAAATGAATTGGTTTATATGGAAATGAAAAGTAATTACATGAAAGGTATACCACTGTCTGTGATGAAGGAAAAGCTAAGTCACAAAGATTGCTTTTAAAAAATGTGAACTGTTATGATCCTCTAATGTTTACAGAGATGGAATGATAGGCTTTGACTAAGTAATTTTAGATTAATTTCTTGCTTTTGTAAATTCCTAAATCAAAAGTAGTTAAAACTAAATTAAACTAGAGAGCACTGGATTTGGAAAAGCCAAACTGAACTTTAAAATTTGTTATTATATATATATATTTTTTTTAATATTTTTATTTATTTCTAGGAGAGAGAGAGAGAGACAGCGTGAGCAGGGGAGGGTCAGAGAGAGAGGGAGTTACAGACTGAAACAGGCTCCAGGCTCTGAGCTGGCAGTCAGCACAGAGCCCGACTCGGGGCTCGAACCCACGAACCGCGAGATCATGACCCAAGCAAAAGTCGGACGCTTAACCGACTAAGCCACCCAGGCGCCCCAATTTGTTATTATATTTTATCATTATTCTGTTTTGCTTTATAGCTACTATTTAATAAAGAAATTTATAAATTTTCCAGTGGATTTATATAGAACTATGATTTTTTTATAAATTTTATATCTTGAGTTTTAATATAAAAATTGTCTTAAGTAAACTCCATTTAATCTTTGTTAATTAAATTTTCAAGTTTGGAAACCACTTTGTTATAAAGCAAATAATGACTGTACACTATTTGTTAGCCATTTGACACCTTTTTAAGAAGCTTTAAAAAATCTAAGGTGATAAATATTTAGGTGACTTCTTAATTAGTTGTACTATAATTTAGATTGTTACTTAATATTGCCAGCTATTCCTTTCTCGTTCTTTGATACTTTAAATTTTATGTAAGTCTGATCTTTACTGGGTTTTGTTTTTAATTTTTTTATCCCCATTGGTAATTCCTCTCAGTTCTGCTTTTAAAAATATCCAAAGTGACCATTTGTCACCACCTCTATACAACTGCCATTTATCTAGGCCCTCATTGTACTCCATCTACAAAGACTGGATTTCCTACTTCCACTTCTTTCATTATGATCTTTTCCCTACATGCCAGAAAGAGCAATCTTCCTAATCTGTACTCTTTGGCCCAGAACCTTCTAAGGGCTTCTTATCTCAGAGTAAAAGGATGACCCTTAGAGTCCCTTGTGACGGGCCTGCAAGCTGCTTGCGTCTCTAATCTCATCTCCTAACCTTCTTCACTCTGCTCTAAACACAGGGCTTTTTCTTACTGTCATCCTTAAATATTTTAAGCACAGCCATACCTCAGAATATTGGCAATTCCTATCTTCTTTCCAGGACTCCTCGATTTTTGCGTTGCTCTCCCACACTTCATCTCAGAATTTACTAAAATTTGGGGTGCCTGGGTGGCTCAGACAGTTAAGTGTCCTCTTGATTTTGGCTTAGGTCATGATCTCACAGTTGTGAGATCAAACCCTGCACTGAGCTCCACACAGAGCATGGAGCCTGGTTGGGATTCTCTCCCTCTCTCTGTCTGCCTCTCTCCCTGCTTGTGCTCTCTCTCTCCTTTTCTCTCTCTGAAAATAAATAAACATTAAAAAAAGAAAAGAATTTACTAAAGTTTTATCAGAGGCTACCCCTGACCTTTCGTATCTAAAAGCCTCTTTCCTCACTTTGCAGAACAATTTACATGCATAGTTATAGATTTTTGTTTTCTTTCCCTTTAAGAAGACAATGCATTGGAAGAACTCAGTAGTAGTTAATTTATGAGAGATTTTGCAAAAATATAGAATGTAGGAAAATGATCAATAGAAAGCTCACTTTAGAAAGAAGCACTTTCAATAAGATAAGTAGAAAATCAGAATTTAAAGAGGAATCAATGTGCATTAGGTGAAATAAGTATTGAGGGTTCTATCTTGTGCATGACAGATAACTCTGTGACTTAGGATACAATGTATAATACTAAAAATATCTTAATCTTTAAGACTTCCCTATCCTAAACATGTTCCACCACTTAATAAATATGTATTGACTGTGATTAGTAGAACAGGTATGCCCTGTGTTCAGTTTCAAGTGATTATTTTTTCCCTTAGTTATGATATTTCTGGTGTTTGTCTCAGAATTACTTTAGATCGATGTGTGGCCCATTGGCATATTATAAAATTTTTAAATTTGAATGCCTTAGGCAATATACTCAGTCTTGTGTTTGCCATGGTTTCTGCCATTCTTACATGCCTTACCACACTCGTTTCACTTATGTGAAACATCTGCCTTCTGGAGACATATGTAGCTTTTATCAGACCTTTTCATAACAGGCAAAAGGCAAGCATCATGTCTACCTCATGCCTGCAGAATGCTCACCTTTCCCTATCATGCCTGGCGCTTGGGGATTCCCACAGTGTTGGATGAGCTAGTCTGAAACCAAGTGATCTTTAAATTATCTGAATGCATGCTGTCATCTTCTACTTTAAGTTATAACTTTCTAGTTTTTCGAGTGCTACCAAGTCTGTCATTTTTTATTGTTTCCCATAAGTCACAGTCTGGTGGTGAGTAAAGACTTCTTTCATTTGGTTATTTCCCATACTTTTTCAATTGGTATTTATTGGAACAGATAACATTACTTGGAGACCTCTTTTGGGGAAGGGTCTGTTATTAATACAGTACTGTTTCCACTGGATGTTTAAGTGAATATACTAAATATGCTCAAAATGTGATGGTTAGGGCTTTTTTTGTTTTTGTTTTTTTAAAATATGGAATGCTTCACAAATTTGTCATCCTTGTGCAGGGGCCATGCTAATCTTTTCTTATTATTCCAATTTTTAAGCTGTTTTCAGAAGAACTTAAAAATAAATTCTGAAAATCATTACAGAAAATGAATTGAAAAACTGAACCATCTAGATATCACTTTGTTTAAAATTGCCGTTTGCATTCTCTTTCATATTCTACTTTATTTTTCTTCATCAGACTTCACCACTTAACCTTTCTACATTTGTTTCTTTATTTGTTGTCTGTTTCTTCCTACTGAATAAACCATGAGAGAAGTGGCTTATTTCTGTTTACTGTTCTATTTCACTGCTTAGAACAATGTCTGACACATAATAAGAAACTTACTGGGGCACCTGGGGGCTCAGTTGGTTAAGCATCTGCCTCTTTATTTTGGTTCAGTTTATGATCTCACTTTTGGAGACTGAACCCCACCTCGGGCTGCACTCTAGGCGTGGAACCTGTTTAAGATTATCTGCCTCTCCCTCTGCCCCTCTCCCCCACTCACGCTTTCTGAAAAAACAAACAAACAAACAAATATTTGGATATGTGTGTGTGTATATGAGAAACCCTTCTCATATGACTTTAGTATGTTTCTTCTGCAAACTGCCCTCTTCTGTATTCCTTTAGCGTAATGTTTCTAAAACACAGATCCTGATGTAACTTAACTTACTCTAAGCCTCCCTTTGCTCCCAGAATGACGTCAGTGCTTAAGTATATCTCACTTAATCTCACTTCATTGCCATTTGTTGTCTGTTTCCTTTAATTAGAAACTCTGAGCTCCTTGAGGAAAAGAACTTTGTTGTCTTCATCTGCTTATACCCTGTACCTAACATAGTATCTGGAGGTGCTTAAGAAAGTTTTGTGGAAAGAAGCAGTATTTTACATATGAAAAAAGCCCTCAAGTCCCAAAGCAGTTTGATACATGATGATTATGCTACTAGCTAGTAGCAGAGGTAGACTCCCTCAGTCCAGTGCTCTACCACTAATAGGAATGAATTTCAGTTTTTAATGAAGTATTGTTTCTTCACTTGCAGATATTGATGATGTTAAGAAGTACAAACCAGGTTATTTGGAAGCCACGCTTAATTGGCTCAGATTTTATAAGGTGCCAGAAGGAAAACCAGAAAACCAGTTTGCTTTTAATGGAGAATTCAAAAACAAGGTGAAGATGATAATCTTTATTTTAAAAAATGCCTTGTGATACTTGTACAATACTTCTTTCACCTTTGGGAGTTTCTTGTGTGAATATTTGTATATGCCATGATAATAAATGCTTTATATTGACTTGAATATTTAAGGACATTATTTTGTCATATTTATTTTAAAAGATTTTTTCAGGAGATCTCTAAATGAAGCAGTAAGTCTTGATAAATATCTGGATTTGTCTCTTTATCTGTTGATATTTCCTTCATCTCCGTAAATGAAAGATTTCCATGATCAGTCTAAGTCTGCAGATTGTGTATGAAGAACGACCTTCCATTTACTATTGTGGAGAGAAGAAAGTTACTTACCATTAGTGTAAATCCAGAGCAGCTTCTCTTTAAGTGTTCATTCTATCATTACTGACTTGAGCTGTTAAACAGTTAACAAAGCACTTAAATTATCCTACTGTCATAGAATTTTTCTATTAGAATACCACAAAGTTACCATGAGGTGTCTTCTCACATGACCCAAATGGAGAAAATAGGCCCAGGATGTCAAGTCTAAGGCATGGAATATATATATATATTTTTTAAGTTTTTACCACCATATAAATTACACATTACATACCAACAGTTAAATGGATACTAATAAGTAAAACGTGTTTTGTAAGTAAGGTAAGCCATGTTACTGGAAACTTACAAATTATAATAAATGTCTTTTTATATAAGAATTTATTGCTTGACCTACTATTTTTTAAAAGGCACATTAAAAGAACTAATACCTTGAGGGCTTTGTCTAAGATTTATTAAATGTAGATATAAAACTATTATTTTCAATTAAATACTCTTAAAAATAAATATTAAAGATTTATAAGACAAATTTTTATCTTTTTCCTCTAATAATATGTTATAATACATGTTTGAACTTTTTATGGCTCCTTACTGCCTTAGAGTATGGTTTTGGGGTGGTAGTTTTTTGTTTTGTGTTTTGGGGGGTTTTTTTGGCTTGATTTTGATAAATGTTAATTCTTTTCTGAATGAAGACTAGATTATTTATAAACATGGTTTCAGAAAACAATCACATTAGGCATTGCTTTTTACCACTTCTGTTTAAAATGTAGTGCTTACCTCAGGAAAATTAAGTTGTATCTCTTCAACATGTTTGAGAAGGTGACTCCTGTGCTATCTAGATTTTTCCTGCTGACTCCTGGAAGCAAATGCTGGAGAAGTGATTCTCAGTAATCATAATTACCTGAATGGTTTGGTTAAAAATGTTTCCTTGTATTATCCTAACGATAGATTGGCTGTTTTGTACCGTATGTTCAGGAGCGCGCCCCGCACCGCCTCATTCAGCCTTTCTCCTCCAGGTCCCGCAGCAGTAGCGAGAAGACTTTTTTTTTTCTTTCTCAGAAGTAAATTTCTCATTATTATTACATCTTGGTTCCAAGGATTCATTACTCTCTTAATTTCTTATCATAATGTGTTTAGTTGTAATCGAAGGAGAAAGGAGCTAGTATGAATTAGTTAATATCTAAGTACTCTCCTTAAGAAAAAATGGCAACATTTTGGGAGAAAAAAATCAAAAGAATTTGCTGCTTTGGAATAACAGAGCAAGTGTTCCTTTAGATGGTCTTGCTAGATAGATATCTAGATCTAGCAAGAGGTATGTATCATTTATTTTGTATTTTCGGACACTATATGAGTTCATACTAAGAAAAAAATTAAAAATGTTAAGGAGGTTTACTACCTTTTGACAGTGGATGTTTTAAAATGTTTATGCAGTTAAACTATAGCTTTGATGATGATGAAGTTAATAGGTGTGTGGTTACCTGATAGGGAAGGGACTAGGCTAAGCACTCTGCATACAGTTTATTTATCCTTTTAACAGCTAGACCATTTAAATTAGGTGTGGCAACTTTTTTCTATAAAGTCCCAGATAGTAAATATATTAGACTTCGTAGGCCATATGGTCTCTGTTATAACTTCTCAACCTCTGCCATTATGGTGCTAACGCAATCAAACCATGCACAAATGAATGGGCATGATTGTGTTCAGTAAAATTTCATTTACAGGGGCGCCTGGGTGGCTCAGTGTCCAACTTCAGCTCATGTCATAATCTTGCTGTTTGTGAGTTCGAGTCCCATGTCAGGCTCTGTGCTGACAGCTCAGAGCCTAGAGCCTGCTTTGGATTCTGTGTCTCCTTCTCTCTCTATGCCCCTCCTCTGCTCCCTCTCTTTCTCTCTCCCTCTCTCTCCCACCCCACCCCCGTCTCAGAAGTAAAGTAAACATTAAAAAAAAATAACAGCTTTATTTACAAAAACTAGTGGTGAGCTAGATTTGGCCCACAGGCCCTAGTTTGCCAACCCTAAATTACATTATCTTCATTACCTCCCATTTATAGATGAAGGTGTTAAGACTTAGTGAGATTAAGTAACTTGCTCAAAAGTCATATAGCTAGTAAATAAGGATGCCAGTATTGATATTCAGGTTTGTTTGCCTCCAGAGCTCATGTTCTTAGAAAGTAGCTGTCATAGTGATAATAGTTCCATTTTCACATAGTGATGTGATCTTTGTATCTTGTTTTTGGTTTGGAATTAGGCTTTTGCTCTTGAAGTTATTAAATCCACTCATGAATGTTGGAAGGCATTGCTTATGAAGAAGTGTGATGGAGGGGCTATAAATTGGTAAGGATATGTCTTTTCTATGTAATGTTATTTTATTACTAATTGGTACTAAATAGCCATATAATACTAGTCAATTTGATTTTTTAAAAAGAGAATTGCTGTTTTTTTCATTAAAACATACTTATGGAGCACCAATATAGAAAGCATTGCCAAGTGCTGAGTGGGCACTTTGAAACTAGGAATTGACATGGTCCCTTTTCCCAAAAGATTTATAGTGTACTGAGGGATATTGTTGAGTTAACAGGTATTTAATTATAATATATTGTGATATGTACAAAGAGGCAGTAAATAAATTAGCGATTTTTCAGTATGCAAACATGGTTATTTATGTGTAAGTATCACATTTTTCTTGATGAAAAAGTACAAAGCCTTTTTATTCATCATGATCTGGGTCACTAGCTGATTGATTAGAGGGAATCAAACAACAGTAACATATGTAACTGAAACAATTTATTTTAAAACATTTAAATGTATATATTCACTCATCTTTGGATATAAGGCTAAGACCTTTTCTGTATAGGTTCCACATACATTAAATATATTCTGATGTAATATAGAATAGAAAACCAAGATAAGATCCTCTAGTCCTTAAACTCCTTATAGTTAAAAACCTTCAGAGGCTTTTAAGGTTCTTTTTTCTAACCTTTTTACAGTTTTCTTAACCACACCTATTTTGACACCAAGTTATTATAGTGAGTCACCTTTACTGAGGCTTTTCATTTAGCTTTAGTAGTTTTTAGGGCCTACTTAGTGTTCATAGAATCAGTTCTCTTTCCACATCCTTTTCTTCAGTGAGCATAATTACTGCTTAAATCATGAAATGGTAACAAAGATAGCTCTTATAAACAAGTTTAGAAACAAAAACAACTGACTTTTGGTAAGCCTAACTATGGAAGGCAAATACACACCTCATTCTGTAGAGGATGGTACCCAGCTTCACTGTGCCCTTCTTCAAATCAGGAGAAATTGGGAAGCCATTCACTCTTCAGCAAACACTGACCTGCCGGGAGTGTGCTGGTTCCAGAGCTATTGCTGTGACTACAGTCAATAGAGCCTCTGCCCTGGGAGCATGAGTCTGGGAATCAAGAGAGACATTAAAGAAATCATTAGAATAAAGTAATCACGTGGAATAAAGAATTAATGTCAAGATATATGTTATCCATGTCATCAAGAGGCTCATCTTGTCTACGACATAAATGCTTAAGGCATTAACCTTCACATTGTGTTTCTCTTGTAAGCTCAAGTAACATTGTCA